TGTTGCCAGGCGGCAGAAAGCATATATATAATTATAATAAACTTACAATAAATTAAGTTAATATATAATTATATATACAGTAGCTAATTTATATATAATTAATATATAATTATATGTACAGTACCTAATTTATATATAATTTATATATAATACTAAACAGACGATAGCAAACTCAATTTAGCCGCTCCGTAGCGTGGCGCAGGGTCGGAGGTAAGTAGTTCGGCTGCTCATCCACTATTGGTCCAGACTCTATCAATCTTCTCGCGAAACGACGTTATAGGAGGTACGTTATACGAAAGTTTCTACAATTTTTTCGCTATGTTATAGGGGGGTCGACTGTACTTGTAATAAATTAAATTTCATTACTTAGTTTCAAAAATTACTCAATTTTATTTCATATTTTCATAAAATAAAATAAACAAATGAATAAAATGAACTTATATAATTAATTTACAGTTTATGAGAAAGGTTCAGAAATAACCTAATTTAAATAATAAATGATTAAAAATTTGTTATTAAATAATTCAGCTGACAAAACTTTTGACAAAAATAATGTATTGATAACATCATATTTAATGAAACTTAAGAAAATCACAGACAAATCATAAAAAACAACTTGTAAATTATCCATAAATTAATGATACCAATATTGAATTAAAAGTATCTGAAAAATTTTAAAATAAAAAACAAACCTGAATGTTGCTGCATATGATCAAATCTTCTTTTCCAATCTACAATTAAGTGAACTTTTTCACCTGGTTCAAAATATTTATCTACAAAGTGAACAGCTTTAGATTTTCTTCTAATAATACGAATCACTGAAAAACCATTGATTGTTCCTCTATCATCTGGCTGTAATATACAATAACAATTATAATTTATAGAATAGTACATTAATTTCTATATACTGTTTACAAAGTAAAGTTTACAAGGATTTAAATCTACCTGTCCACCACCTTCTGGAAATAAAACTGTATCATCAAGAATTACACCAAATACTTTTACTTTTTCTTTCTGTTTTCCTTTTTGTATTTCCAATTCTTCTGGTTGACATAATTCTACCTTGCTTGTATACTAATAAACAGAAAATTTCTATAATGAATTTATATAATATATGGTGTTTATACTAGTAATTTCAAAAAATAAAAATTTAAAATGTAAAATATTAATCATATAAATTTAAAATGTAAAATATTAATCATATAAATTTAAAATGTAAAATATTAATCATATTAATCATATATTTTGTATATAAATGATTATAGATAAGATTAGTTTAAATTTATTCATATCTTTGTATACTATAAAAATACGAATAAATTCAAACCAATCTTAATAGCAATCAGTAATTCATATAATTAAAATGTATATATATTTGTGTCCAACTTTCGTATGCTTTTATTAAATATATTTTTTAAATTTCATATTTAAAAGTTTTGTCAAGTTTGTCTGTCTTAAATATAAGTTGTTTAAAATAGTTTTCAAAAAAATACTTCTTTGACAAACATCATCATACAACAACTTAGTAATGAATTTTTTGAAAAATAATTTCATAAGAATAACAATTAGAATTTCATATAATCTATTTCAATTGACAAATTTACATCTTTGGAATTACACACAAAATTGCTATGGAGTGAATGGACTGATGAAAGGCATATGACTCAAAATGCATTTCCTTTTATAAAAGATAAAAAATAAAATCTACTTTTTCCATCCAAAAAAATGTGTTCCTGTATGATATGTTCTCCATAGCAATTTTGTGCTTAATTCCAAAGAACAAAAAACAAAAGAGAGAACAAGAAGCAATCAAGTACTAAAAAATTTACATCTATTTTCATAAATTTAAAAATGAATGAACAGGTTAATTACACAATTATGCTTAAGTAATTTACACAAATTCAACTAATGTAAAATTCAAGTTACATAAAGGTCTATGGTCCACATTACTTAGGTAACTTCAGGTACTATTGTACTTATTTTTAACATCTTTACATAAAATAATTGATAGTGGGTTTAATTCATGTTTTTCATAGACTAAAATGTAAGAATATAAAACTATTAAAAACATAAATTATACATTGACCAAATGTGAGACTTACTGAAAGAAAACCTAAAAATTTGATAGATTGACAGTTGCAAAAGTCAAATTAAAAAAAAAAGGCTTTAAATTATCATTTGGAAGAATAAAAACACTACAAGGTATCTAAAAAAGAACTGACTGATTATAGAAACTCATATTTATTTTATAACTAATTCAAAAAAATCTCTTATCTTTAAGAAATATTGATATGTGCACCATGTATTACTCTCACAATATGGTAACAATGTTTTGTCTCTCTCCAGGTGTTACATAACATGTTTTGAATGATGTTCTGACTGCATTTATTATGCAATGTTTTAATGCTTTAAAATCTGTATCAGGTGTTTGATAAACCAGGACCTTCACATAACCCCCACAATAAAAAGTCAAACAGAATTGTCAGAACAAGATTAAAGTCAAATTGATCCATCTTGCCCAATCCATCAATTAAAAAAAAAATTCATTCAAAAGTTCTACCTGAAGCAACAGTAGCATTGTTTATGTAATACAGAAAAAGTTTTTAATTTTTGTTAGTGATTATCAAAAACAATGTTGATTTTTTTCCTTAAATACAAAATACTTCTGAATAAGCCCAAATATATATAGAGATGTGCAGATATATTAAGAGAACCAGGTCACAGGGTTAAGGCCCTTTCTGTGGGATTGGATGAAGTACCAATAAATAAGAAGTAAAAGACTGGAAGTCTAATAAAACTATTGTGGTGTAGATAAGATCACAGGAAATAAACATTCAAGATTAATGGTTAAATAATCCTCAATGAAATTAGCATCTGATTTATTAAATAGAAATTTGATGAGAGTAGTTAGTTTCTTGACTGGTTTCATCCACTTAAACATTTATACAGAATGGGCATCTAAAAAGGAGTACACTGGGAATGTGATATAATGGATGAAACTGCCCATCATATTGCTTACATAAGATACTCAATCTTGGGTTTAGGGATTGAGCTTGAGACTAAACATCAAGAACTTGTAAAAAGCCTTATACTTTGTCAAGAAAAGTAGCTTTTTAAACAGGGAATAAGGTTTCTGATTTTGATAGTCATAGAGAATAAGATTTTTATTGGGAATGCAATATACCAGCAGATATCAGCACTGGAGGCTGCAAGACTCCAACCCCAAGAACACAAAATAGAATTGAGGGTAAAGACCACTTCATCTATTATTATTATTTTACAGTTCATAGATATAGCAGTTTTCTATACCATGTACATGTCCTCCTTTTGCCTTAATCCAGAAATGAATTAAAGCTGAAGACATTGATAACTTGAATGCAAACTACTATATATCTGCCAGCTATAAGTGTAGTAATAATAATTTGTCAAATTCCAACACATTAAACCCAATTTGTTTTACATGTTCATATGTTATATCCTCAGGATTATTGTACACTTACATGGCAGGCCATCAAAAGCATTTGAGGGACCAGATCAAACCTCTTTTGCCTTTTTTTTTTTTTTTTTTTTGAACAAATAAAATATATAGAATGTTTATTTATTAATAAGTCTTAAAAGCATATTTATTTTGTTGGTAAAAATAACATTTATATGAGGATTAGTTATGGACCCAAGTTTTTGCTGGTCTTGTGAAAAATCCCTTCTTTTCCCTCTAGACAGCCCTCTGTATATGCAGGGGGGAAGAGAGAGAGACAACTAATATGAAGAGGAATATCAAGTCTAAAAATTTGATTAATTTATTAGTAATGCTTAAAAATAATCAGTGCAACATTGAAATTATCATAACATCTGTAGCCTGGAGATGAGGTGTGTTCATCCTACTATCAATATATATTATGAAAAAATAGATATTGATATCTGTCAAGAAAAGACATGGAGGTAGTCTCTTTGCTATTGTTTAGTTTTTATTTCCATATTTTTGTCATTGATACGATTTCACTTTTTTATAAATTCTGTATTTTTGATTCAAACTACTTTATCATTGCAGTATAAGGCGATATACCATATTACTGTATATACATTTTCATCTACAGTATTTTGCATTTAATGCAGTACAGCCCAACGCTCTTGTATCATTAAAACCAAATCAATCAAAATTTCATCAATTTGTAATATCTGTCTTAATATTCTTTATGCTGCAAATGATGTATTATTCCCTTGAGTGAGGGTATAAGTATTTATTTTTGGAGTCCAGAAGATTTATATATATTTTTTTCCATTTTTCTAGTTAAGCAAGTTTGATGAAAATACTGGTCACTCAATAAAAGCAGTCAAAAATATAATTAAACTGATTTTACCTCTCGCAAGTAACTGTCTTTTTGACAAGCAAAAACCATTTTAGCAAATTTATTTAAATATCCAATTCGCATTGGCCAACACGTGGTCAACAAGTTTTCCGCGTAAATGAATTATTTCGTAAAAGCTAACCCAAAAATCGCCAAATGTTTGAAAATAATTATTTAAGTGTTAAATATACTGCATTTTATTTTATAATAATACTTTTTAAATATATTTAAATATGAATATTTTTAAATATTTAAAATGTTTTATAAATATTTTAAAATAATTTTTAACAAAAGTTTTTTTTTTTATCATTATGAATCAATTTAAATCTTTGACTATAAAGTTGCTTGGATACTGAAAAGTTGAATTGTGCATACAGCCTATTGCTAAGGGCAAACCCTAAGTCAAATCCTTGCAAGCAAATACAGGAATTTTTCGGGGTAGTCTGTCCCGGATACATCGGACTCCTTTCCTCATTATCATGTCGCTCCCGTTGTGATCCCAGTCGCGAATCCATGGGATGAGCGACGGGGTTATTGTCTCTTTAGCACTTTTATTAATAAAAATCATTTAATAAAAAGCTCTTCCTACAAAGTATTTTTGCATTGAAATACAATTTTTTGAAGTAAAAATGTTAATTACAGTGTATGGTTACAAGAATCTAAAAATTTACTAAAACACATGTTTCTCTTTATCTGTTATAAGTTTCTTAGCAAGCCCATAATGGCTTCGGCTAGGCCCACAATGGAGCAGGTGGTGAGGGATGGGATATATTTGGATGGATCATCCTTGAAAAATTCCTAGGGTTTTTCAATCTGTCACTCCCGGGTCCCCTAAGAGTTAGGTTGCCACGTTAACAACTTGCCATTTGCCTGTCGATCGATCAAATGAGACATGTTTCTGATTTATGTTGCTAATTCAGATGCTAATTGTAATAATGGAAAAATTAAGGCTGAAAAAGAGAGAGAGAGAGAGCCAAATGGTATATATCTAACCTAATTAGATTGCTCCTGTCAAGAACTTGCCAAAACCTATCCTTTTAATATCTTCAGAAAGGACAGAATCAAAGAAAATAAATTTAATTCTCATATATAATATTTTATAAAATTGCATATTAATTTGATCATTTGCTTAATTTTTCTTAACAATTAGAATGAATGAATGGATAAATAAACAGACTACAAAAAATGTAGAAAAATCGGAAAATATAGAAAAATTTTCTATTTTAAGATATAAAATTTAACAAAGTCTGAAATGATCGAAACTAAATATTCCACAAAAGAAAAAAGGTTTTCATTACTTTATCAATTACTTTATCATTCCGTTAACTCCGAAAAACAACTCCATTTTTAAAAGTCTTTCCACTCCGTGAGTACGAAGAGAGCTTTACAAAAAGATTGTTGCTCGACCAGGCTTACAATGGGATTGTATTGTATTGATGGAATAAGACAATACTACACAAGGACGATCTGCCAAGATGGGATTCTTTCCAGAAGGATTTTCTATGGAAACTGGTCCCTATTTAAGTGTTACTCAAATGAAAAAACCTGAAAAACGCCACATAGCTATGAGGTGAGGCGCGAACCCGCGATCAGTGTTCAGTGGTTTTGTTCACTTTGCTACTGGTGGGCGCTTACGGTGGGAACGGTGGAATCGAATGACAATAGAAAATTTGCATTCTTAATTGTTCCATTTAACCATCGATATTCTATTTAAAGATAAAATCACTTTCAAAACATAAATTTTTGATGACCGGATGACCGAGACGATTAAGACATCAGTCTATCGCTCTTGGGAACCTGGGATCTATCTGGGTGAGCAAGCCCAAGAATTTTTCATAGACAGTTTGTCTCGGATATGTTTGGCTTCGTCTCTCACCTGTTAGTGTTAGGGTCTTTTATCATTTTTTTCTAGTTTCGATTTGTGGGCCTGGGCGAACCCATAATGGGCTTGCTAAAAGAGATCCTCTTAGTGCCTACAGGGCGAAAAGAGTTTTTAAAAAAAAGTGTAAAGTATGCCGGTAAAAGTTAAAAGATCAGTTTTTACTCTTATTCAGAAGCATTCTGGGATTATATTTAGTGGTAGTAGTATAATTTTAATAATTCTATGTTGCTACTACTAAAGTGGATGAAAAACTCTTTAGCTATGATAACACTATGCGACTTTAATGGAATTTTTGTCGTTTCAATCTAAAGACAGAAATCGAACGATGTAGAACAAGTTGAACTTTATCTTTTGTTGTTCGGGAATTATATAACACGTGATTTTCATTCATTCAAAATCATTTGCCATAGAGAATGAATAAAAAATTAATCAAGAGATAAGAGATAAACTTACATGATAGTAACTGAATTATTAAATTAATTAATAGTTATCTAAAATTATGTGAATTTCTAATTTTGATAAATGAAAATTCAATAAAAATGTATTTAATTCTTTAGTTAATTGAAATTATAAAGCACTGAATTCTTACTGAAAATAGAGGAGAAGGTGGTATTATGGAACCCCAATTACATTTTAGTGAATTGTAAACAAGGTATCATAACTACACCCACAGTTTTTGTGCGAAAAGTACTGGTAACTAGTAAACTAAATGTTCCTAATTGGATTTTTCGCTAGTGTAATTATAAGTATGGTTTTTGAAGGCTTTTGTACAAAAAGTCCGAAAGTAGGCTTAGAGAAAATCGGGTGGTAATATGGAACCTTACTGTATATTTTCAAAAAAATGCTTTAATGTAGCCAAAAACAAATAGGAAAGGACAAAAAATGTTAAATAATTACCAAATTATTTACTCCAATGTATTTTATCGCAAAAATGCTTTTATAATAGAAAAATATGACCTCCATCAACAATATATATTCCAGCAGCTCTTTTTCGATATTTTCAGACTTTCTACCTAGTGTCTTTTTCCCAAATTGCTCCGGACGAATGTCTGATTGCAAAGAGAGAGTTCGGAGGAGTTGAGTTCCATATTACTGTAAAAGCACCAATGGGGTCCATATTTCACGCATCGCCATCTTGAATTAACTTATGTCTGTCAAGACCAAAATTTAAAAAACGTGAACATCACGCAGATTAATACGTACCTCTAAGTCTCTGGAAGGGAATACATGCACCAGTGAACCTACAACTACACGATTTATATTTTAAAAATAATTAAATTCACTTAGCATTCAAAACTTGCGAATTTTGAAAAAAACAAATTTGCTGATTAAATACGGACAACCGTTCAACTGAAGTAAAATGGGTTTTCCCCTTGCTATGGATGTCTACCTAGTTCAGTTCAGCCACATTCCGCTACAGTTTGCCTTTATTATAAGTTCGAAATGAGGTAATTCCATAATACCACCTTCTCCTCTATGTTTTTTAAATATGAATGGTAGTCTGTTTCCTGTTAGTCGTCTAGTAAAATTGCTTAGTCTGAAAATCTTGGGTGATCTAAGTAGCAAGCAACTAAATAAACAAACCAATAGCATAGTTTGTTTTATATGAAACAGACTATGCTATTGGTTTGTTTACTTAGAAGCACTTTTTCCGCGTGTTCCAATGCACTAACGTTGCAGCAACGTTCGCAACACTCGTTGGCTATGTTGACCAAGCCTTCAGCAAACGGTGGCGATAACGTTGACGAAGTATCGCCAACGGCTCGCATACAGCAATTAGACCTATTTATGACGACAAAAGTTTATTTTTCTGTTAGAGTTAAAAATCAAAATTGAGTTAATAAATGTTCCTTAATAAACCGCGTTCCTAATTTCACTGTTTTATTTGTATGTAATAATAAGAGCGCTCAAGAGAACGTTCACTCTACTAAACTGCACCTTCGTCAGTCGCTTAGAATGTCTATAGAATAACTGTTTTTTTACCTTTTTTGTCACCATTATAACGATTTTTAAGTGTTGTATAGGGAACTGTTTATGTCTGAGGTTCTCAACGTTTCTCGTGTGCTGGATCCCTAAAACCCTCACACCATGGATGCATTCTTTTATTTTTCAGCGTATATTCTGCGCGCGTGCATCCGTTTAAAAATTCCTGCAGAACGCGTTCCTATATTCCGATCAGAGTACGTGTGTCCGACGTCCAAAACGGCTTTTTGTAGTAATAGTTTATGGTAGAAAGCAACATAGGATTTTCCAATGTTCCAATGTTTCGTTTCGGTGTGTATTATATGGCTTATTATATGGCTGGTGTCTATTATTATATGGTGATGTATGAAAATTTATACATCACCGTATGCATGTTACGTAAGACAGTGATGTAAGTATCATCTCGAATTTTTTTCAAATGGTAGCCGACTTTCTAATATTTTCGTGGTCATTTTGAATTTTCTGTCGGCAAGACAAGAAATCCTTCTTTTAACTTTTGTCTCCAAAAACTCATATTTTAAAATCTCTATCACGATACTATCGATAGTACGGGTGCCGCCATCTTTTTCTTTTACCGTCGTTCCTAAATGCCTACAAATAGCCCTTGATGCAGAGACACGGAGCGACCACTATTAACGAACGCACTTTATGATAGACCGAGAACCCCTAGGTGTTCGCGGGCCACCGGTTGAGAAACACTGGTTTATGCTTGTATGCTGTACATATAATTAATAAAATATAAATTTCAGTACCTCGTGTTGTGTATTATTCCTTAATACAATTAATTAAGGGGGTATATCGAGGCTTTGTTTCTCACCATTCAGCCGCCCCATTGTGGGCGTATCCGAACACATAATGCGCTTGCTAAACAGAGGCCTTCTTAGTGTCCACAGAGCAGAAAGAGTTTAAAAAACTCTCCGGACACGAACTGCTTATAATAAATTTTGATGATATAAGTTTGAATTCGTAACTTCTGATATGTTTCTTTACACTCTTCTGAAACGCAATGAGTACAAAGCTAATATCGAAATAGATACACTGAGATTGATATTACAGTTTGCAAGAATATATTTCAATATCCCAAGAATTTTGATAATTGCAACAGAAAGGAAAGGTTGTGATGACGGATTGTTGAAAGAAGTTAAATAAATTATCTATCTGCATTTGAAAAACAACTCATTCTTTACTAATAAATTAATTATTACTTAATTATGAAGAGAAGTATTGAAAATCTACAGAGGAT